GCATCCTGACTCCCCCCCCCCCCCATACCCCCCCCGCAATCCGCTGCATCCCAATTCCGTGTTCTGAAAGGAAATTGTGTACTACGGAACCCCTAAAGGGAATAAATATCCTACGAGATGGGAGGATTAAAAAAAATTATTATAAAATAATAATTATTAAAAAATAATTTTTTTGTAATTATATCGTTGGGTAATTACACTAAATTGCGGGCATCAGGGAGCCGCTACTAATATGCAGGGCATTGAAACCGCTTTCGAGATTCGTGATCACACGAACTCTATACTACAGAGCGGCAGTACCTACCACACATTTTACAAGATTAGATATTTGTCAGTGGTGCTCCATATCTGCAAATTATTCGCCATTGTCCTATCAATATTTGTCAGTGGTGCTCCGTATCTGCAAATTATTCGCCATTGTCCTATCAGTCGTCTCTCCTTACTCTGTGTATGTGGTAAGTGATATGTACTCTAATGTAATAGTCTACCGCTAGCGAGCGGCTAACCATGTCCCTTTAGTGGCTCCGTAGAATGTGTTATTTGTTTTCCATGCCTTTCTGCATTCTACGCTTCGGGCACACTCCCTAACCCCGCCCCCCGATGTCATCGTCCATCACGATGTTTCACTGTAGACATAGTAAGATGCCAATTTGGTAGACATCGCCAAACCCTACTACCCAACTAGTCTAATGTTATAAGAGACATAAAAAGATAAACATTTAGAACATGCTACTCAACAAAATTCCTCAAAAAATTTCTTAATCAGACCCACCATAAACTCAGTCAGTCTTCCCTCAAGTTTGTTGAGTTTGAATTTAAACATTTTGATCTCTTTATGTAGGGCACTCTAAGCTTTGTGATCTATTGTCTACACTTTTACCATCTTAGGGCCATATTTACTAAACAGGGACATGCTTTTTTGGGGTATTAAATAATGACGCAAATACCAGTGAATTGACGAGCGCAAATCTTAGTAAATTGCTTTACGTGATTCGTTTAAATACTTTCCTCCCATAAATTCACCAATCGAAAGGGAAACTCCTACAAATGCATATTCAATAAGGTGTGTCGCAAAAATAACTGTCCATGCCTTTTCAGTGCTAATTTCCCACTGCGTGTCTTTAGTAAACCTTGACAGTAGTCTTTAAACTTCAAATTAGGGTTTGGTGCTCTCGCTGCAGCATTTGCATAAATTGAAAAGTGTATTCAAGTGTTCTCTACAATCAGCAACATTCTTTGTCTTCCAGTCCTAGGCCTGCCGCTCATTTAGCCAGTGCCATGTTGTCAGCAGCACTGTTGAGAAGATTTGATACCTTGTGGCACTTCACAAAACTTGGGGTATTAGCTAAAATGTAGGATGCTAACTAACGTGTAGCCCATTTAAAATGAATTATGAGACAATTCATTTACAATTTTGTCAGCCTGGATATGGGGGAGTTTGGTGAACACTTCTACCTCCGACATATCTAAAGGCCCTGATATACTTCAAACAACGGTCTGTTTCGTTCTTCGTTTGGTGGTGAAAAGAAGTTTGAAAAGGGTGAGCGACGAAACACTGTTTTCTAACATTCCAACACCCGGTGATGTTGGAGGTTGATACATTTGTACCAGCTCAGCTATTCGACACTCCAGTGTATTCATACTGCTTGAAACTTGTTGTTGTTGTTCTCTTGTCTGACCTCTGTGGAATGAGTAATGAACCGGAAAAAAAATCTTGCTTCAAAGACTGTGGCGTTCCAGAACACACCCACTGATTGCGTAATCGCCATGGTCCAAGGGTAGTTCAAAGGTGTTTAGAAGCCAAAACAAACTCCCCCAGAAAGTTCGCTTTGGTGAGCTGTTTCAAACTGCCAAAACCAACTCTAAACGAACTTCCTTTCGGCCTGATTTTGTTCGAAATAACATCATATCAGTTCGTTCTTCGATTTCGTTTGAAGCCTTCACTCCATAGTGCGCCCTACCCCCATGCAAGTGTATTTGAGAGCAGCCAGGCCTCTGTTTGTGACATCTGAGACTTTAGGATCTAAAACTAAAAGAAACAAAAAGCTAAAATAATGGCAAGAGTTTTAGTATCTTCATTTTCTCATTTTTTGACCTTAAAACTCAACAAGGCCCAATCCCAATTCTATATTATACCCCTTCCTCGTTTGTGACATCTGAGACTTTAGGATCTAAAACTAAAAGAAACAAAAGCTAAAATAATGGCAAGAGTTTTAGTATCTTCATTTTCTCATTTTTTGACCTTAAAACTCAACAAGGCCCAATCCCAATTCTATATTATACCCCTTCCTCTTCCCCTACCCCTCCGCCTACCCCCTTCCCCTTGTCCCTTGAAAAGAAACTTGTCAACGCTGCCCCACGACTTTTATTAATAACAGTATAAATACTGAATTATTATATATTTTTATTTTATTCGTTATATTTTCCAGCGACGAGAGGATAAAATCACTGTTTTTAAAGTAAACTCACTCTAAAAAGAGAAACGCACAGACGCGCACACACGTGACTTTCATCTCTCTCTCTCTCTCTCTTTCGAATTGGCACTATTTCAGAAAAGGGTTAAGCGATTTATAATTATTGGGGGTAATAGCCCTTCTCAATGTCTATGGTGGTTATTATCGCCCTGATCAGACATGAAAATAGCCAATGTTGTGGCACTATCGCGACACTGTCTCGATTCTCTTTTGGGAAAGGGGAAGGGCTAAGGGGTAGAATTGGGATTGGGCCCAAGTGTAAAGTTATTTTTGGTAACACTTTATTTTGATAGTCCACTTTAGACATTCTACTAACAGTAAGTAACTTTGCAACCAAATGTCAACTAGCAGTCATTAAAATATTAGTAGACGGTATGCTTAATATCTTCTAACACTTTATTTTGATGGGTCCACAACATACAACATACTGACCATAAGAAACTTTGCAAGTGTCAACTTATTCTACTAACCCTAGACCTAACCTAACAGTCTACTATGAGAGTAGACATGCAGTTGCAAATGAATGAGAATTAGTTGACGTGTAGTTGCAAAGTTACTTATAGTTAGTAGAATGCCTAAAGTTTTTTTTTTAAGCAACATAGTTTTAAATGGATTCTAGAGGCACAATAATTCATTTTCCCAGTGTCTTTTGGTTTTTGCATCAGCATATATATGACTTATAAAATAGACTACAGAAACACTATTTTTGCATTACTTACTATTACAATCACTATTCTCAATAGCATTATCTTTGAATTTCAGTAGAAACTCTTGTATGTTATTTAGTCCAAGAAGATGAAGGTCTTATGGGTTTGGAACAACATGAGGGTGAATAAATGATGACAGAATTGTAATTTCTGGGTGAAGTTTCCCTTTAACAGTAGTTGATTGAAAGTCACTCTTTCTGAATGTGTTTATTTGTGTTTCAGAGCAAAGAAGGCATTGACCTGCTGGAGCGCACACATGAAATATCAGAAAAGATCAAGGCCAAATGGATCAGCCCAGATGTGAGTCACAATTTATTACATACTTGCATAATTGACTTTATTACATAATTGTTTAAAATTCCACACATACAACACATTGCTATCGGAATTAAAAATATTAACCAAATAAGATGTGTAACTGAATGTGAATGTTTATTTATCTCTTTCTAGTTCAGATGAATTACATTATTAAAAGACCATTTCAGTGACTTGCACAGCATGTTAACAGAAAATTATACTCGGATTACAGAGAATCTGTAAACTACACTCTGTTTCCAGCATCTCCTAAGGAACTAGTAAAAATGCCTTCGGAAAAAAAAAACGGAATGCTGGACGGGAGAGAGACAGAGTGGGATTATGGCGTCTACTGGGTCAGATCGATAGTTAGGCAAATTAAAACTAAAGAAAACCGTAACTTAAGCTTCGAAATGACAAAAAAGGTCATTTGCAAGAGCATTCAGTTGCACTCAATTGCACAGCGCATATCAAAAGCTCCCTTATCGGTTCTGTTTTCAGTACTGGAGAATAAAAGATAACGTTACATTCTTAGATGTTTTTGTTAGTACATGAACGTTATCTTACACATTTTATCTCCCCAACAGATTAATTTGAAATAAGTTTATAATGCATGTTGGCTATTCCCAATTCAGAAGAGCGCACACACAGCCTGTGTCTGTGAATGCTTCTCATACTCGCTCCTCTCTGCCCCACGCGGCGCAAATCCCGTGTCACGGATGAGCCATTCATGCTTGCCGCACTCACGCAGCCTGTCTCGTAATGCTCGCTTATACTCGCACCCGTCTCCACGAGCGCATCTGGCAGTATGGATGAGGCTTGACGCATGCGTGCAACCTGTGTCGACTCGCGCCTGGCTCCGCGTTTAAAACGAATGTAAATTCAGTCTAACTGCTTGCTAATTTCACTTGGATGAAATGAAACATTCAGCACATTTTCCACTTGCTCTTAAAACAAATAAATCAATGTAATACTTTAATAATTGACTTAATAAATAATTTTATATTTATAAAAAATAAACAAATATTTTCTGTGAAATTCAGTAATGAAGTTAATTCTGTAAAAGTAGTTATACCATTATAATCTTGCCTGCTGAAGAAAAAAACAATAGAACCCCTCCCAAAACACAATAACAAATTTAATGGATTTCAGGGTTATAATGGGAATTAATTTGGTTTTAATGGAAAGTATAATGGTGTCTATTTGATGGACTCTATTGGTGGGATGTAATATGGCAGATGGCAACCAATAGAACAACAGTAATTCCTATTGGAATAATGCCCAAAACAAAAAGGAATTTTGTAATGGTTTAATGGAAACTATAAGAATTTCTGTGATGGTTTCTATTGTTTTTTTCAGCAGGGTAATGATACCCATACTGTGCTGCACATTATTGACAATATTGAGCTGAAGCTTGACTTTGCAAATTAAAAATCGCAAATCAAATCGCAATCGCAATATCTGTCAAAAAAAATCGCAATTTTATATTTTCCCCCAAATTGCACAGCCCTAGTATACTCGCATAAAATGATGTACACTGATCAGCCACTACATTAAAAGCACCTGGCTAATATTGTGTAAGTACACCTCATGCTTCCAAAACAGCTGGGAGGCATCCAGGCATGGACCCTACAAAACCTCTGAACGTATCCTGTGGTACCAGTTCTTTATTTATAAAAAATAAACAAATATTTTCTGTGAAATTTAGTAATTAAGTTAATTCTGTAAAAGTAGTTATACCATTATAATCTTGCCTGCTGAAGAAAAATACAATAGAACCCCTCCCAAAACACAATAACAAATTTAATGGATTTCAGGGTTATAATGGGAATTAATTTGGTTTTAATGGAAAGTATAATGGTGTCTATTTGATGGACTCTATTGGTGGGATGTAATATGGCAGATGGCAACCAATAGAACAACAGTAATTCCTATTGGAATAATGCCCAAAACAAAAAGGAATTTTGTAATGGTTTAATGGAAACTATAAGAATTTCTGTGATGGTTTCTATTGTTTTTTTCAGCAGGGTAATGATACCCATACTGTGCTGCACATTATTGACAATATTGAGCTGAAGCTTGACTTTGCAAATTAAAAATCGCAAATCAAATCGCAATCGCAATATCTGTCAAAAAAATCGCAATTTTATATTTTCCCCCAAATCGCACAGCCCTAGTATACTCGCATAAAATGATGTACACTGATCAGCCACTACATTAAAAGCACCTGGCTAATATTGTGTAAGTACACCTCATGCTTCCAAAACAGCTGGGAGGCATCCAGGCATGGACCCCACAAAACCTCTGAACGTATCCTGTGGTACCTGGCATTGAGACATTAGCAGCAGGTACTTTAAATCCTGCAAGTTGTGAGGTGGAGCCTTCATGGTTTGCATTTGTTGGTTCAGCACAGATGCTCAATTTTGTCATATTCCTCAAGCCATTCCTAAACATTTTTGGCAGTATGGCAGGGTTAGGCCTGGGTGATAAAATGGTTGTCAGTATTTATATTATTTAGTATTTATAGGCGCATGCTATGAGTGATAAGGAGACTTAGTGGAATAAAATAAAATAAAATAATCAGAGACTTAGTGGAATAAAATAAAACCCCACAAATTCTCGAGTTGAACCTCTTTTAACTTAACATGGCTTTCTATACATCTCTTGTGTGAGACACGAGCGCAACAGTCAAAAGGGCCTTTCGCACCGCAGGAACCTTTTCATAGTACCAGAACTAATTGTGGAACTACCCACTTTTTGGCGTGTTCGCACCGCCGGAACTGGGAGCGATTTTAGTACCGGACTGCCTTTTTCGAGAACCAAATTAGCTCCTACTCCGGAGCAGGGTCTAACCAGCACAACTGGTACTAATCGTGACGTAAGTAGACATTGATTGGCCAAACGCGTATGAAAACGCCCTCACCCGCCATGAAAACGCTGTGTAAACATACTGTAAGCATGTCAACTTATTTCACAAGTATGGAGAACAGCGATAGATGGACGGACGCTGAAGTGCAGGCACTTGTAGCAAATGTAACACTACCAGTTGTCGTTGGAGAATCTTAGTCCTCCTTTCCGTTCTTTCAATCGTTTTACGTATACGTCGACTTTCCATGTCCATTATTGTGAAACCCACGAGACACAACAAACTCACAGCTCCGATCACAGCGTCCTCCATCCTCCTGTTGTTAATGTTGTTCTTCTTTGTTTCTGTTGTTGAACGCCGCACACAAATGACGTCGCTGTCGACCGGCTTACGTCACTTCTTAGTACACACTCTCGGTGCGAATGCAACCCTTTCAATGGTACTGGGAAATAGTTCGCGCAAAATCATCCCAGTACTTTAGTACCGTACGTTTAGTTCTGGAACTAAAGCGGTGCGAAAGGGCCTATTGTTGTCCATCTCGAAAATCCGCCGAATATGTGTTCTGTGCGAATGGCTTTCTTTCGGATTTAATCTAACCAAGATCTTCTCTAAATTAAGCTTCTATATTTCTCTAATATTTTGAATGAAAAGTGCAGCAGCAGCGCATCTCGTGGGTTCAACTTAATAGGTTATCAAAAACAATAAAGTACTACGACACTTACATCATCATCAACGCATCTCGTGCACCACTGATAAGGCTCCCAGAGGCACACCTAATATTCAAATGCACCGTTTTTGCATTTGAATGCAAATTTTTATTTTAAATAAATATATGATTTTTATTCCCTTTTTGATTCACAGGCACAGCACTCATTTTAACATGTGTTTGTGTGTTCTGAATGAAATACAATCTGTATGATCGGTGGTTCTTTTTTAAATTATGTTATGCATAAATACATGATGCTGTTTTGTTCATAATTGCTCATGCAATTTACGAAATTATATTTGAATTGTATATGTTAGTTCAGGTGTTATGCACTTTTTTTATAGATAGTCGTTATTTCATTGTATTGAACAAACAATTTATTTAGTTCATTGTGCCCTCCTGTGGCCTCAGGAGACAGGCCAAAAAGTTTCCTTAAAAAAATAAAATGAGTAATTAGCTATAACTATATGTGCATCAACACTAAAATATCAATAATCGAATTTATAGCATTATTTGATATAATTCCTAGCTGTAGTGGTATGTTTTTACACAATTTTATATGTGCTCTATTACAGACCAAACTATCTGTAGTCATTTAAAATTAGTCAACCACTGTATTTTAATCACGATCTAAAGATGCTACATACAGTATGTGTACCATGAACAGTTTTTGATTTAAATTAGATTGCAGATCTTTTTTATCCTCAAACAGCAACATTGCACACTAACTAAAGTTGAAAAAAGCATAATAGGACTCCTTTAAGGGTCTTATCCTTTAAAACACTAGGCCAAAGGTGAAATTGCAGAAATGTTGAGGAAGAAGACGATGAAAATACATCAGTCTGAGAGAGGTTACAAAGCTATTTCAAAGGCTCTTAGACTCCAAAGAACCACAGGGAAAGCTATTATCTCTAAATGGGGGGGAAAAAAGAGAGAATTCATCTAAGAGGGCAGTGACAACTCATCCAGGGAGTTGCAATATACTCAAGAATAACACTGAAGGGACTGCAGGCCTCTCTTGGAACAGTAAAGATCATTGTTCATGACACTGGCCAAAAATGGCATCCTTGGAGTTCCCAGAGGAACATTAGGTGTGCACTCACACTAGGCGATCTGAACCATGCCCGAGGATGTTTGACTAGTGCAGGGGTAGGCGAGTTCGGTCCTAGAGAGCCGCAGTCCTGCAGAGTTCAGCTCCAACCCTAATCAAACACACCTGAACAAGCTAATCAATGTCTTCAGGATTACTAAGGCCATATAGGCAGGTGAGTTTTTTTTTTCAGGGTTGGAGCTGAACTCTGCAGGACTGCGGCTCTCTAGGACCGAACTTGCCTACCCCTGGACTAGTGTGATTGCCCCGTTCGCTTGGTTGGAAGAGGTGGGCCAGAGCACAGTTCTGTTGTGCTTGGGTGCAGTACGCGTGTAGTGTAAGCT